TTTTTAAGAGTTTTCAATTCTGACATATTTCCCTGTTCCCTATGTTGATTTTACTTTCTACAAATTCCTTTTCTTTTCTTTTCTTTTTTGTGTTTGTGTACTTCAGGCTCTGTCTTTTATGCAAGGGGGTTCTTTCAGTTATGTCAAGGGGGTTCTTTCAGTTATGTGGTTGGATAGCCACCTGCATTTAAGAATTCAGCGACAGGCCCAACAGATGTTGTAGTGGTTATGTTGCTGGATTGCACATGGCCAACTGTGGTTTGAGTCCTGGAGCCAGTGGCTTGAAACTCACGCTGGGTGCCTATGCATGTGTGCGCAAGATTCCAGGAGGAGAATGGAGGAGAAGGGATTGAGGTGTGGTCATCTGCCCTGGGAGGTGATTTCTCACTTTTCCTCTCAGTGTCACTTTCTCCCCACCCTCCACTCTCCCACTCTACTAGCACATGGGCCCTAAGGCAAATATCTCTGGGGAAAAAATAATTTAGTGACAAAAAGTTGATTAGAATGGGCCAGCAGGTGGCATGGTGGTTAAGGGCACTGGATTCCCACATGGCAGACAGTGGTTTGAGTCCACTGGTGGCTTGCTTTCTCACTTTCTCTCTCTCACTGTCTCTCTCTGGTCAAATTAAAAAATAAATAAATAAAATAATAAAAAAAGTTTGGGTACGAGCAGGGCTTGCCAACCTTTGAATTTCACTGTAAGGGATGGACAACAAGCTGTGTTCCTCATTATGAGACCACCAAATATTAATATGTGGAGGCCTTTTCCATTAGACCACCTGGTTTTCCCCTAAGAGAAAGTCTTCAATTTCCTGATAAGATCCTAGCAGTCTATGGGAGACCAGCAGATGGTGTAATGGCTATGTTGCTGGACTCCCATGTAGGTGATGTGGTTCGAGTCCCAGACCTGGTGGCTTAAACTCACACTGGGAACATGTGCATGTGTGCCCAAGATCCCCAAGAGGAATGGAGGAGAAGGGACTACAGCATGGCCATTCTCCCTGGAAGGCGGGGGGGGGGATGATTTCTTGCTTTCTGTCTCTCTGTCTCTCTTTTTCTGGCAAGCGCACGCTCCCTATAGCAAAAAAAGCAATAAAATAAAATAAAAAAGTCCTGGCATTCTAGAATTTGAATTTGGAAATAAGCTGGTGAGTGGGAGGATGTCTGTCTCATATCCACTATGCACAACTTCCTTTTTTTAAAAAAAGAATTATTTTATTTAACTTTATTTATTTTATTCTGAGCAGAGAGGGACAGAACAAAAGAGAGGGAAAGTGAGAAAGCAAGCCACCAGGTCTGGGACTCAAACCATGGTTGACCACGTAGGAGTCCAGTGCCCTTAACCATCACACCACCGGCTGGCCCCCACAACTTCCTTTTGATTCTACTTTTCTGTGAAGTGAATAATACCTGTCCTCAACCCTGCCTGGTGTTTAGGAGAGCCCCAAGTCAACCTCTCCAGAAAGTATGCTATCTATCTGCTGAGTCTGGGCACCAAGGAATAGCGTGTAGGGGAGGAAGGGTCTCACAGCTCTTTAAAAAACATTCCCAGTGTGGAATCAGCAGATGGAGTAATGGTTACATCACTGGACTCCACATAGTCAGCCACGGTTCAAGTCTCAGACTTGGCGGCTTAAAACTGATGCCAGGTGTATGTGTGTGTGTGCCCAAAATTCCAAGAGGAGAATGGAGGAGAAGGGATTGCGGTGTGCCTCCCTCCCCTGGGGGGATGATTTCTTGCTTTCTATCTATCTCTCTGCTGAGGTCGCACGCCCTGTAGCAAAATCTCTCTCTCAAAAAGACAAAACAAAAAACATTCACAATGAATTTCCACTGTCAGCTCCATTCTACCTCTGCTTTCAGAGCCATAGCAGCTCCAGTTTCAGAGCCTTTATGGGATTCTGTGATGTGAATGAGTTCATTTCTGACTGGGTCTGCCTCCTCCCAAAAGTTAGGGTATTAACTTTTCTCAGCTTTGGTAAGCCAGTTATTCCTCATCATGCATCTGCTTCCCACATGCCTAAGTTTGGTTGACACCCTTCTTCAACGAGAATCTCTCTCCCTCTTTGCTTTGTCTTCATAGGTGTATATAATTTTTATTCCTTCACTGTCATTTTAGTGGCATATCTGGAGTAAGTGGGGAAAAAAAGGTGTGTCCAATGTTTAACCAAAGTCTCCTTACCATTAGGTCTGAACATGCGTAAATGTAATGCATGTTCTAAGTAGAAATGACATAAGTATGATTATAAGCAATTCCATAAGAACTAGATATAAGGACAGAATAGAGTAACTATACCTAAGTGTAACTGGCTGCATCTGTGTGCTAGGCAGCCTTTAACATGCTTGGATGTGTTACATGTATTACATGTGTCATCCTCACAAAACTTCACGAGGCAAGTGTTGTGACTCAGCCCCTGGTGGTCTGACTCCAGAGTCCCTGTGCTATATAACATGGCATGTCGCTTTTGAAGCTATGGTCTTTAGTCAATCCCTATTTATTATCAACTTAAGCTGCATCTGAGGGTTTTTTTTTTTTTTAAGAGAGATTTTTGTTATTGGGTGTGTGCACTTGCCAGAGGGATAGAAAGACTGCAAGTGAGAAATCACCCCCTGGGGGGATGGCCATGCCACAGTCCCTTCTCCTCTATTCTTCTCTTGGGATCTTGGGCACACATGCACATGCGCCCAGTGTAAGTTTTAAGCTGCGGGGACCAGGATTCGAACCATCGTCAACTACGTGGGAGTCCAGTGATGTAACCATTATGCCATCTGCTGGGAGTCCCGCATCTGAGGTTTTCAATGTAATTTTTGAACTCTTACTGTGCACTATTTGCTGTGGCAAATCTACCATTATTATAGATGCATTAGAGATACATGTTGGGAGGTCGAATTAAATAATCTATCACAAATGTTAAAGCACAGTAATTTCAATTGGTAAACTTGGCATACGTTAGGTTTATATAGACTAATAAGCATTTCTGCAAGACAAAGCAGTTACTGTCTGTAATTTGAGGGTCAGAGAGATGCAATTAGAAGCCCTACATTAACAACATAGAACTTAAAAGTACCTGTTCAAATAAAACATGATATCCACAAGAGTTTAACATACCAAACTACTGACGGCTTTGGGCATCCTAATTCAAAGAATTCAACTCCTGGGACAAGCAGTTAGCATAATGTCTATGTCGCTGGACTCCCATGTAGTAGACCGCGGTTCAAGTCCCGGACCTGGTGGCTTAAAACTCACTCTGGGTGCGTGTGTGTGCGTGCCCAAGATCCCGAGAGGAGAATGGAGGAGAAGGGATTGCAGCGTGGCCATCCCCCCCGAGGGGTGATTTCTCGCTTTCTGTCTCTTTGTCTCTCTCTGTCTGGCAAGTGCATGTGCCCTATAGCAAAAACTTCTCCCCCCCCACAAAAAAAAGAATTCAACTCCTCATTGTTTGAAAATTTTAGTACCAGAATTACTCTCTCTCTCCAAGACTACTCACTACCCCAACATTACTGTGTTGTCTCTTGTGGTAATTCTTTGTGAGGAGTGTATGTGCATGTGTAGGAGACAAAATATGTAAAACTATGTGGATGTTGCATTCAAAAACCCGTACTGTTTCCCAATTCTTTGACCTCCTCTCTTCAAAGGCTCTCATACCCACCGTTACCTCAGGACTTACTCTTTTTTAAACTTTCATTATTATTGTTATTATTATTATTATTATTATTTGACCAGCGAGAGATACAGAGAGAGGAAAAGTGAGAAAGCAAGTTGCCAGGTCCGGGACTCGAACTGCAGTTGGCCATGTGGGAATCCAGCGCCCATAACCAACACACCACCTGCCGGCCCCCCTCAGGACTTACTCTTATGATCACTTCCTACACTCTGACATTACCAATAAATTGAGTCTTTTTTTAGAGAGAGATTTTTGCTATAATGTGTGTGCACTCATTGGAGAGACAGAGAGAGAAAGTGAGAAATCACCCCTCGGGGGGATGGCCATGCTATAAGCCCTTCTCCTCTGTTCTCCTCCCAGCATGAATTTCAAGCCTCCAGGTCCAGGACTCGAACCTCTGTAGGCCATGTGGGAGTCCAGCACCTTAACCACTATGCCATCTGCTGGCCCCTGTCATTTGAATCTTAAACCTCCTACTCTCTAACCGTCTTTTCAGGTTATTCCCGATAGTGCCTAAACTTCAATGATTCTTCAACCTAATGAGAAATAGGGTGGTCACCCGACCATGTTGTGATTTTTTTGTTGTTGCTGTTGTTGCTGTTGTTGCTGTTGTTGTTGGTGTTGTTTTGAGAGGTTTTTGCTATAGGGCGCATGCGCTCGCCAGAAAGACAGAGAGAGACAGAGAGACAGAAAGCGAGAAATCACCCCCCAGGGGGGAAGGCCACGCCTCAATCCCTTCTCCTTTCTCCTCTAGGGATCTTGGCACGCATGCACACGCGCCTGGCGTGAGTTTAAGCCACCGGGTCTGGGACTCAAACCACGGTCAGTTACATGGGAGTCCAGCGACATAGCCATTATGCCAACTGCTGGTCTTACCCGACCATCTATTCACCCCTCCACAACCCTCTCATAGCCTTACTTCTTACCATGTCTGCAATTACAATGCCACCTTTGCTTCTACTCTCAATTACTTTGCACTTTTCTCCCATTACTTGTTCAGCCAGATCTCAGACCTGGTTACAGCCACAACTGCCTACTAAGTGTCTGCACATAAGCAACTAAATCTGACTAGAGAAAAATGTGCAGCCAACTGACTGTCTCATTTATGACCACTCTTTAAAGAGGGTCCTTATTGGTGCCTAGAAGCCTCCCCATGTTCCCTAGTCAATGTACTCTCCCTCACTCATAGACTCCAATTTCACCTCTTTCTCACTTCTCTCCCCTCATCACTTGGCAAATGATTACATTAGCTAGAACAGGCTAAACTGCTTTAACAAACAGACATCAAAACAGTATGAATCCAACTCAACAGAAATTTATATCTTGCTCACATACCTGGGCGTTCCAGCTCAGGGGGCACCTCTCCTCCATCCAGGCCTCTTCTTCCTTGTGGCTCTGCCAACCCCATGGGCTTGTAGTCATCTGCATACTCAGAGCTGCATGTCCAGGGTCCAGATGACAGGAAAAAACACACACACACGTACACACACACACGCACACACACACACACACACACACACACACAAAGGAGGCACAGGTGTTCTGGCACCCTGGCCTGGCTGGAACAGACATAATTTCTGCCATGTTCTATTGGCCACGACTTATATCCATTGTACTAACTGAAAGAGAGGCTGAGAAAAGCAGTCTCTGTGTTCAGACAGGAGGGACTAAACTGGTTTTTTGAGAGAGATTTTTGCTATAGGGCATGTGTGCTCACCACAGACATAGAACATGAGAGAAAGAGAGAGAAATCACCCTCCAGAGCAGATGGCCACACTGCAATTCTTCTCCATTCTCCTCTCAAGATTTTGGACACACATACACAGGCGTCCGGTGTGAGTTTTAAGCTGTCAGGTCCAGGACTTGAACCACAGTTGACTACATGGGAGTCTAGCAACCTAATCATTATGCCATCTGCTGGTCTTGGGTGAGACTAAACTGTGATGGGCAATAAGCTGTCTGCCAGGATGATCTTGCTCCTAATTTCACTAAGAAATTATCTATAGAAGCGACTACAAGAGAACTTCTACTTTATCCTCCTACCAAATCTATCCACTTAGTTCAGTATGTCCCATATACGTGGGAAGTGCTTTCAGTTAGAACAACACAGTTATAACAGCCTTCACAAAAATGCAAACATACTTTCTTTCCTTGCTCATTTAAACTCTTGTGGCTCGCGGTATCCTGATTTGTTCTGTTTTTTAAAATAATTATTTTATTTAACTTTATTTATTATCATTGTTTGTTTTAATTTGACCAGACAAAGACAGAAAGAAAGAGAGAGAGAGAAGGTGAGAAAGCAAGGTGCCAGGTCCCAGACTTGAACTCCAGTCAGCCATGTGGGAGGCCAGCGTCTTTAACCACCATTACACCTGCTGGCCCCATCTGTTTTTTATTTTTAGAGATTTTTGCTATAGGGCACATGCGCTTGCCAGAGAGACAGAGACAGAAAGCGAGAAATCACCCCCCTTGGGGGGTGGTGGTGGCCATGCTGGAATCCCTTCTCTTCCATTCTCCTCTTGGGATTTTGGGCACACACGCACATACTCCTGGTGTGTTTTGAGCTGCTGGGTCTGGAACTCGAACTGTGGTCGATTACATGGGAGTCCAGTGACTCCAGTGACGTGATCATTACATCATCTGCTGGTCTCTTGGGATTTTTTTTTTTTTGGAGAGTTTTTGTTTGTTTGTTTGTTTTTGCTATAGGGCACGTGCGCTCGCCAGAAAGACAGAGAGAGACAGAGAGACAGGAAGCGAGAAATCACCCCCCAGGGGGATGGCCACGCTGCAATCCCTTCTCCTCCATTCTCCTCTCGGGATCTTGGGCACGCACGCACATGCGCCTGGCCTGAGTTTCAAGCTACTGGGTCCAGGACACAAACCGCAGTCGACTACATGGGAGTCCAGCGACATAGCCATTACGTTAACTGCTGGTCCCTCTTGGGATATTCTTGATCAACACTCCCTCCTGCCCTGTTTTTATGAAAGCCCAATTTACCTTGTTTTGATGATTCTTCATTATCCTGACTCATTTTCCACTTCCTCCTCCTTTTTTTTTTTTATTGGCTTCTGTCATCTAGATCAGAGCTTCTCAAACTTTGATGTGGTGGAACTCTCTTGGGGTACTTAGTAAATGGAAGATGCTGACTCAGCAGGCCTGGAAGGAGTCTGAGATGCTGCCTTCCTAATAAACCTCTGTCTGGATCATGCCAGTGCTGCTGTTCCATTGACCACTTTTTGAGTAGCAAGATTCTAAAGATGTTTTTCAAAGTTCTGTCCTTTGTTTTCCTCTTTTCATTCACAGTGACATTACTGTTAGGCTATTTCCTAATCTATGTTCTAGTTCAGTCCTCTGCCATATCTCAAAAGCTTTATTACTTTTTTTTTTTAATGTTTATTTATTACTTCCTGAGTAAGAGTCAGAGAGCACCCCCGACAGGAGCTTGACAGCACAAACCACCCCTAGCCTCAGCGGATGGTCACACAGGCGTCCCTGGCATACTCACAGAGGTCTCTAGAGGTAAACCAACCTTTCCATGTGGGTCAGCCTAGCAGAGCATCATGTTTTACTACTGTGCCACTGCCTGGCCCCCAAAACCTTTCTAACTTCTCAGTATCTACGTCTATCTGGCTGTCCTGACAATTTTTAAAATCCGTAAGTGTTCAAACCCAGACTGATCATCTTCTCTCAAGCAGCAGCTCCTTCTTTCTCTTATACTTATCTCTTTTCTTTCTCTTGTAATTATCTAGAGACTCAAATCTCCAATTTCCCCCTTCCTACCCCCAATTACTCAGTCATTTGTAAATTCTATAGATTCTGCCTCCACATCATCTCTTCACCACGCTCTTCATTTCCTCCTGCCTTCCCTTTAGGTCAGACTCACCATTACCTTTTACATGGCCTATTGTGAGTCTGTCGGTTTTTCCACCTTTGATTTCTGCATCCCTTCCCAGAGAGATCAACAGTACGAACAAAAATCTTCCATTTCTTCCCCAATATTTTTAAGCCATGAAAACTCAAAAGACTGAATAGATTCATCCATTGAACATCTGAGGCCCCATTCTCCTTTGTCTCTGCCACTTCTCAAGACACCCCGGAGTCTTCTCTCTTTCTGGGACAAAACTTTCATTGATTTGCCATCATCTATGTTCTCATGCTCTAGCTGTAAAAATCCTGTCTCCTTCAAGGTCAATCCCAATGCTTTGCATTCCCGGGTCCCCAACACGGGTATGAGCGGTTCTTTGATCCTCTGCAGCGCCCTTTGTACTTTTAAGTGACACCTACCATGCTTTGTCTTTTATTAAAGCTGTTTTATCTGTCTTATTCCTTACTCTTCAAGGGGAAGAGGAACATCTTCCACTGCCCTCTGTAACCCTGCAGCATCTTACTTATGGGTGCAGAAAGGGGAGGGTGGCGTCTCCTATCAGTTACACCAGGGTGATTTTGGCGGGGGGGAACGTGATGCAGGGCAAAGCACACGGAATGTGGAGCAGTACAGCTGGGCAGCCTCTGCCATGTGAACCCTGTGGCTTTGGGTAAGTCCTACCTTCGCCTGTAAAGTCAGACTACTACCGGGCATTAAGGGAGACAACGTGAGGGCTGCTCCGCTCTCCAGAGGACGGAGCGGTGTGCTTTCTTTTCCTTACCGAGGTCGATGCGGTCCTGCTACTCCAATCTTGACGGGCAGCCCCATCCCTACTTCACTAACTAGGAGGTCGAGCCCCGAGTTGCTGGGGCCCCGGGCCAACACCCCCCGCCACTCCAGGGCACTCTAAGTGTTCTCGGCGATGCAGGTGAGTCCTCGGAGCCGCTGGGGCGCGGCGGGGCGTCCTACGCCCTCGGGAGGCCTCTCTGCGTCCACCCTCCCAGAGCGAGCCCTTCTCTTCCCGGTGACCCCGAAGACCTCGGCGCCGCCGCCTACGTGAGACGTTTGGACCCTGCCCGGCCCCCGTAGCTCCCCTTCTCCAGCAGGTGGTTCTGGTCTTCTCCCCCAACTCGGGGCGCTCACGTCACCCGCGAACCTCTACACCGCGCCAGCGCCGCGGCCAACCGAGAAAATAAACAA